ATTTTTTATTTAATTTTGTGTTTAAAAGCCAAGAAGTAGTGGAATGTTTAAAACAAAAATAAAAATGGGATACATAAGCAGCTAAAATGAATTGTATTAAGGTTAATTGAATTATATGTTTTTCATTGAAAACTGAGAACTGAAACCAAATGAGTAGTACAAATTTTGAGTTATTCACCCCTGGGAACACAACTACTATGCAAGTGGGGAATATCTATATGTTCACTTAATTAGAATATATGATTTTCTTTAATACATATGGGTATTAACCATATATCTTACAACAATTTTTCTGTGTTTATTTCTAAGTATGAAGCCTGTTGCTTATAGCTAGTAGCTAACAACATGTTATCTAATACTAGTTAGTACATACTTACTTCCTCTTAGCAGTTGATTGCAGTTACTCTGTTATTTTACCAGTGAGTTCTTCGAGTCCAGTGCAATACCCTTCAATACCAAGCTTGCCTGCAATGGTTCGTGACTCGCCACTTCTGATTCAGCAGATCAGAGACTTGAGAATTGCCCTAAGGAATGTTCAGAATGAAAAACTTCAGCTCCAGACAAAACTTGCCAAGAATCAGCTGGACAGTTTACAACCACTGAAGGTAATGCACTTTTGCATTCAATCTTCCATTTAATCATTGTTCATCAAGAAGAATATATGTGGTCCAACAGTAAAGTTCGCGAACTTGTGGCGGTAAAGCTGCTACATACCTCATTACTGAATATCACTGTGGTTGCCTTCAAAGTACTCCCTTGGGAACCTACACACCGATGCCAGTGCCAAGTCCGCCCTTCAAAATAATTTTATAATGGATTTTGTGGAATGGCTTTCAGAGCTGCCGTCATATAACTCCAGATTTCATCATTGTCATCAAAATGTCTTCCTTTCAATGTTTCCTTTACCTTTAGGAACAGAAAAAAGTCAATGGGGGCTAGATTCAGTGAATATGGAGGGTGTTCCAGCACAGTTATTTGTTTACTAGCTAAAACTCACACTGTCGTGTGGGCAGGTCCTTTGGAACCATTTTTGTACACACCTTTGTAATATCAAGATCTTCAGTTAAGATTTTCCTGTTTGCTGATGTTTGCTTGCTCTGATATACTCATGACAATCAGTCAACGATTTTCACACAATTTGATGAACTTTTACTATATTTTCTTCAGTTCTGCTCGTTGCTGGCTGGCCTGATCTCTCTTGTCAGTGACACTTTCTCTTCCCTCAGAGAAACATGTCACCTACTTGTAATCTGCTGTTTTCTTCGTAGTATTATCCCCGTAAACTTGCACTATGACATCTCTCTGATTTTACTTCCACTCTTGCCAAGTTTTATTAGTAGCTCCAACATTCTCATGACACACTCAGACAATAATAGACACCACTCAGAAAGAAACTGCCACAGATCAACAACACAGTTGTGAAACACTGATATGCCAGCGTCATCAAAGTCATCAAACCATACTGAGGTTTCTGTCCACTGCTGCAACAGTAAGCACACAGTGGCGAGTTTGCAGACTTTATAGTCAGACCATGTATGATCTTGCTTAATTTTACCTGATTATTATGTAAATCTTCAAATGACAAATCGCACTTGTTAATAGTGATGCCAGCTGTTCATAGCATTGAGAGTTTAAATGTAAGGAGCACTAAGTGTCCCATGAACATTCATCTACACTTTAATCTTTAAATAGTTCAGTTGTATGGATTAAATTCGGTTGTCATTGCGTTACCCAAATTTGTTACTGGGTTCATAGTCATCTGTACTGGTTATATGCGACTGTGTAGGTATATTTATTTACTGTTAAGATTTGAGGAAGTAAGTACCTGGAATGACGATATAATGAAACTAATGAAGGAGCCAGTCGTGTCTGAGGAAGGTGCAGAAGATCACCAGAGGTGGAAACTTCGTGCAAGGAACTCTGAAATGGAAAAAACCTCGAAGAAGAAGTTCCTCTGAAACGTTGGTACCCCTTTATTAGACTATGTGGTGCCATAACCCAGAAGATGTGGGCAGCATGGTCCCCTGAAGCATTGGTACTCATCTTCAAGATTACACTGTCATAACCCAGAAGAACCAATGTAAATAAGTATGTTTATTAAATAGTGTATTGTTTCAGGTGCCTAAGAAGAACATATTTAACAGAGATTTGGAGGAACTTAAACAGAAAGATGAAAAGGATAATCAGGAGGAAAATAACCTGGACAGGCTAGAAAAGAAAGCCTCCAGTTTATTAAAAGTGAGTACAGATTATTGTCAGTGAAGCCACTACATTTGAGTACCTTTTTTTTTATCCTTCTGAGAATTTCTGTAATACAACTACTGTGCCATATTACATGCTCAGAAATGTAACTAGGGTAGCTGTAACCGTGAAACAGATGATTTCTTGAGAAGGTGGTACAGAAATTTCTCAGTTTTATGGAATCTGAAGGTTCATTGCTTGATTCACGCTGGATCCCGTCTTTATTCAGCTAAATCTGGTTTACACTGTCACCTGCTGTTTCTTCAGTTTTCACTGTACTCTCACCCTACTTTCTGCGCTTAGGTCTTTGAAGTGATCTCTTCCCTACAAGTTCTCCAACTAAAATTCTACATGTACTCATATTTATTATTTCCACTATATATACTACAGGTCTGCTCCTCCCACTCACCACACTTTTATCACTCTGATAGTATTTGGTAAGGAGTAAAAAGTATGAAATGCCTTGCTAAGTGATTTGCCCATCCTTATATTTCCTCTCATCTTAGGTCTGAATATAGTCCTAAAAATTATGTTCTTATATGCCTTCAACTCGTGTTGCTCTGGTGAGAAACCTAGTTTCAAACCCATGTAAAACAACAGGTAAAATTATAGTATGGTTTATTTTCACTGTTAGGTTTTTATGCAGGTTTTTCAGGTGAAATCCATTGTTAGATTCAAATTGGATGAAGATGTCAAGGCCATGATGGTGTGGTGGTCCCAAAAACTCAGGGATTTCTTTATGGAGGGGGTCTGTTTACTGGTGTATAAGTGGGATGCCTGCCCCAATGCCCATGCGGACTATTTTGAATGGCCTCTAGTCCTCCCAGAACAATCTCAGGTTTTGTTTGGACAAGCCCTACAGATAAATGACTCAGAACCAGAGACATACTGTTTGTTTGACTACTGAAGCTGCGCATGTTTGTTTCCAGGAAGTGTTTCATGTGATGACAAACCCTAAAGTAGTTGACATTAGCTCACGAGCTCCTGGAACTCCTGCGTGGCTGGATAGATTATCACCAGCGAATCATCTCATTCAAGAGGTGACTAAAGTACAGGATTTGCAAAAGAGAGTTGAACATCTACAGGTAAGTTCATGAAGTAGCAGGACATGAAGACAGTCAAATATCAACAGAAACTAAAGTGGGTTACTATCCACCCTAGTGGATCATCCTATGATGAAGCTTTCTCCACTCTTTACTATCCTCTGGTAATCGCTTTTTTTCTTTGCTTCATCTTCCAGCATTGATTCTGTTATATGTGGGTCAGTGGACAAAATGTCACCAAACCCTTCTTTCCACAATGTTTCCTTTTTTATTTCTTGCCAGTTTTTCCCTCTCTTGTTGTGTTCCAGTACCTGGCTGAAGCATCGTGTTCAGGGTGGTCTCATGGCTTTTTTTTTCCCCACTAAATTTTAATTCTGATGCCCTTCTTGACCAAACCATTGTAATTATATATATACATAACACATGAACAGATCTTATATGTAATATAATTTAAATACTGTTAATGGAATGTTTCGACACCAAATAGCTGCATGGCTCAGTTTCGAGAATCAGGTTTGTGGAAATGGGATGTACCTCTAGAAGGTGAGGGATGACATAAAATGATAACATTTCTGCGAGGATGCATCTGAAATGTTTGCTTCTTCTCATGTCCATTCCAATTCATTATTCACTAAATCACTGTGTCATGCTGCTGACAGCATCATTAAATGAACCGTAAGTAAGGCAAGGATAGCACCGAAACAGGAGAGGCTGAGAGAGATGTTGTGGCTCGTACACTCAAGCCTGCTGTTTGTGTGTCATCTGTGATTATCTGTAATCTGTACTGGTAAATAAACTTGTCCATTTGCAGGCGGAAGTTGTCAAGGAAGTTGTTAAGCGAAAAGCTGGAGGCAGTGTGAAGGCTGATTTTGCCCTGTTCCCATCTAGAGAGATGACTAAGGTATGATACCTTGACCTGCCATTTTAGTGTCAAAATATGAACTTAGATTAAATTATAGTGGAACAATATGTAATAACAGAGAAGCCTGTTGCAATTCAGTAGGGACTAATTTATATTGTATATTGATCGTCCATTCCTTTTCTCTTTTTCCTTTCATACCTTCATCTCATTCCCCCCTCCCATATTTTTGTTAAAATAATGAATTAAGTTACATCTTTCCTTATATAGCACAAGTTTTTTGTGCTATCACCTATGTTAACTGCCTGAAAACTACTAGAATGAGAGAATAACATAACATACTTATATAGTCATAAGCTGTCTCACATTTATGTACATGGATGGATACTTGGTGAGTTACTTTTTATGAGTTTCATTGTAATTTTGTATGCCGTTTTGTATGAGAAGTTTACATATGTGTGTGTATTTCCACATGTGCTCTGAATGTTTGACTCAACACCTTCTGTATGGTAGTAGTTTGTTGACAGTCCTATAAACAGGAAATAACTGTAGGGCCTTTTCATGATGCTAACAACAAGTATGGTAAGATTTAGACATAATGCATAAAATTAATGGCAGATGGGGAAATAATATCTGCCTGTGTCTTAAAATATTGAGTGTATTTTGATTAAATCTGGTGTTACAAAACCACATAAAAAATTGCTGGGTGAAAATAATTTTGATAATGATTGGTTTGATATGGAATATGATGGGCTCTTGTAAACACAATAAGGAATGTCTGGGTTCCATAAAAGGCAGGAGATTTCTTGAACAGCTAACTGATTTTTTAACTTCTCAAGGACTCTCCTTCAAGAAGTTGATCTGATGATACCACTAACCACTTGTTTATTGGAAGCTCAGATGCAATTTCATTTTTCACAAGAATGACTTATCACACAAAATTTGGTACATAGCATCTTATGGGTGGTAATACAGTGTGGTTTGCAGAAAGCCTAATATTTTGGAGGAATGTATCATCATCATCTTAAAGGTAAAAGAGTAAAACAAGCAAGTAAGCAACAGAAGCAGGTGGGAGGCTGAGCTTGCCTACTGCCTGCTTCTGCTGTGGCCGTCTCGTCATCCTCAGTTTGGTCATCCTAATAAAATTTGGTGTAGAGGATAAGGTGCAAAGCTCCTCATTAAGCATTTTCTCCAGCCTGCTGTTACAGCATCCCTGTTAGGCCCAAATACTCTTCCCAGCACCCTGTTCTCTGTGTTGCTACATGCCTGTTGAAAATATGTGCTCTTGTTTGGAACTTAAGTTTCAAGTTGCCCTTGTTTCCATCCATATATTATCTGTGGTCTTGATCAGTTTTGTTTGTATATATAAGCTTACTTTTATTATTAACTTTAAGGTAAGTTTTGTTTATGATAATTNTTTTTTGTTTTTGTTTCAGGCACTTCAAGAAAGTAAACCTGAAGTTATTGGACATCTTAAAATTCCTGTTACTGACAAACAGATGATCGACACTCCAACTGTTCCTCTTATCCTGAATGTTGAAACACTGAGACTGCTGCAGAGGAAACTGTTACTGTAAATTATAAATGACGTGTATTTTGTAAATAATGTGTTATGATTATATGTAAATGTAGGCTTCTTAATGATCCCGAATGGATAAAATTGCAAGCATTTCTTGAACTCTGTTAATTACAAATTAATTTCCTTCTCCAATTTCTTTCATGTTCATGTGTTACTGGAAGGAAATTCTCATAAATTTATATGCTAACAGAATGTTATGGAGTCTGACTTTGTTTGAAGGGTCAGTCACACATTTTCTTTTGAGTGATAAATGCTCTTTTAATTTGAAGTAATGTACACCACGACCACAGTTCATGTTGAGTAGGTGAGTGGTGTTAATATGAAACTTGTTCACAATGAAAGTGATCATTTGGCTGTGTGCCTGACAGACGAGCAGTCAACCAGATGGGCATTTCAGAGCAAACAGGAACACTGAGTGCCTCAGTACTGGTGAGGACTATATTTAACAGCTTCTACTCCTTCGCCAGGAACCATTCCTGAATGGGTTTAATTTGAATCACCCTCATATATTTGTGGTAAATAAACTTACTGAAACGGTTTCCCCATATGGCAGTTCAGTACTCTATCTGACTTTAGGTTTTGCTTTTATATCATCTGTATGCAATGTCAGTTAGTATTCTGCTGTCATTTTTTCTTTATTTTCTGGCCTAACCGGCCTTCATCTTATGTACAGGTTGTTATGATG